GCAAGAAATTAAATCTTAATTATCTATTACAACCATATTGAAACTTGAATAATGTACAAGGAATATAATGTACAAGACAAAATGGAAAAAGGAATAGACTTGTTTTGTTTTTGTTGAGGAAATTTAATTAAGTTAAAGAAAAGAAAATGAGTAGGAAAATGTTTTTGGTCTTTTTCATTGTAAGAAGTTAAATAAAATAAACTAAATAATTTAAATATATTTTTGGTGTTTTTGTGTAGAAAACAGTTTTTTGTGTTTTAAAATAGTTTTTGTGTAGAAAACAGTTTTTGTGTTTTAAAACAGTTTTTATGTTGATAAACAGTTTTTGTGTTTAAAATAGTTTTTGTGTTGAAAACAGTTTTTATGTTTGGGCCCAGGGATTGTTTGTTAGTTAATAAACAGGGGGTCAAAAAATGAAATCGAAGCCCAAACCATGTTAGGCCCAGGCGTGCTTCCTTCGACATGGCAAGGCTTTAGCGCGCGTTGTTTGTACCGCTGGGGTGGTCTGTTTCATCCATTCACGAGATGACTTCAGTCGGATGTAAAGTGAACTCGTTTCTGAGTGTCGAAATGCCCAGCTTCTACATGCCATGATGATTCGATTGGAAGACTTCTAAAGGCTCCATTTCTCAATCGAAACAAACAAAATGAAAACATCAAATCGAACCAAAACTTGAATATGAATCGAAACACACAAATTTCAAAAATCCATGGGTCGAAGGCTAGCATAAATACCAAAACTAAGACCTAGCTGTTCAGAGATGAAAATTTTAATGTACAAGCAATGATAATCAAAACTATGGGCATGGTCAGCTTCCTAGACATGATGTCTACATTTTTTTCTTTACAATGTATATACAAATGATGTTTGAATGAAGAGTTCCAAGTTTTAGAAAACTTACCTCTTGGAGTGAGACTTGAGGGACTTCGACAGAAAACTACAGGAATGGTTTGATGATTGATTAAGCCTGCTTCGATCTCCCTTGAGCTTAGTGGGATCAATATCTTGCTTTGAAAAAGTCACTGAATCGAAGGTTGGTATATGGAAGTTAGGAGTGAATCGAAAGGCTCAATAACTTCCTTGAGTGGGTTTTTTGAGGGCTTTGGGAGTGTCCCAAGGCTGGTATATGGAAGTTAGGGGGGTGAATCGAATGGCTTATTAATGTATGAAGGGATTTGAGATTTTTGAGAGTTTAAGAGTGTTTGAGGATTTTTTTCAACACAACAAGAATCTCCTCTGTGATTTACAAAGGGTCTATCTATTTATAGAGAAAAGGTTTGTAGTAAGCAGAACCTTGAGATAACATGTTATGGTTGAAAATGAAAAAAAATCAAGTTTTATGGATTTTCATAGTTCCCAAGTTCAAGTACAAGTGGGGCCTGATGTTTGCAGGAGATTTGGCTCATGTTTTTGATGTTGCTAGCAATCAAAGATAAAGGTTACAAGGCTCAATGCATTAACAATTTGCATAAATCATGCTTTCCTGAAATGACAATGATAACTTTGTTCCATACATGGAAAGACCTTTTGGAAATACTCTAAATACTTGGGTAATAACTTAATTCATTGTGTAAACAATTGATTATGGAGTGAAACACAAGCTTGAGGCCTATAAAGCAAGATCATATAGCATGGCCTATGGATTCTGCCTTGAATCGAATACTCTGTCTTTTTGTTTTGGCCACATAGATCCAACCTTCGACCAAACTCAAAAGCAGACAAAACTAAATGTCTCCAACAATTGCAAGTTCTTCGAATGGGCTATATTCATCTGAATATACCACTTTGAGTCCTTTTGTTTTGATCACGTAAGTCCAACTTTCGACCAAACTCAAAAGCAGGCAAAACTAAATGTTCCCACCAATTGCAAGTTCTTCGAATGGTCCATATTCATGCTCTTCGAATGGGCCACCAGATGTGTTCTTCAAACAAGCTTGCTCGAAGGATTTAGAGTTGGATTCGAAGTATGTTTCTTCGAAGGAAACCAATGCCCCAATCGAAACTTGTGAACCAAGCTTGCATCGAAGGAGGCCAAATGCCGAATCGAAGCTTGTGAAACAGGCTTGCATCAAAGGAGGCCAAATTCCCAATCGAAGCTTGTGAAATAGGCTTGCATCGAAGGAGGCCAAATCTCAACTGAAGCTTGTGAAACAGGCTTGCATCGGAGGAGGCCAAATGCCCAATTGAAACTTGTGAACCAAGCATGCTCGAAGGAGGCCAAATATCCAATTGAAACTTGTGAACCAAGCTTGCTCGAAGGAGACCAAATGTCCAATCGAAGCTTGTATGAAGATAGCCATTGTCCAAATGAAGCTTGTATGAAGATAGCCATTGCATTGTGAATCGAAGCAAGCATGCTGGAGGCCACTACTTTGTGAATCAAAGCAAGCATGTAGGAGACCACTGCTTTGTGAATCGAAGCAAGCATGTAGGAGGCCACTGCTTTGTGAATTGAAGCAAGCATGTAGGAGGCCACTACTTTGTGAATCGAAGCAGGTTGCTTCGAAGGAAAACATTACCCAGTCGAAGCTTGTAAATCGAAGCAAGCTTGCTCTTCTTCGATTTGTCAAAATCTGCCCACCACTCCCTTCGATCAGTCATATAGCCTGAATCAGATTTTGAATTTAACATAGTTACCTGCATCTGCACACCCTTTTTGTCTGCTTTATACTTATGCAAACTTGAGCTTTTTGAAAATCTTTATGAGAAATGTCTTGAGAAAAGAGAAGGCAAATTTTGGGGTACAACAGTCACATTCGAACAGAAAACATTGTTTGCCACCTAAAACACTGAGAAATTGACATTTACATCGCATCAAGAATGGACAATGTTATCTGAATTTTCACATATTTATGTTCTTGTCACATTTGAGCGGAAGACGTTATCATCCGGACATGGAATCTTCCAACCCCTTTTCACATCTATCTAAATAGATTATTTCTTTATGGATTCAATGTAACATGCAAGCTTCCTCACTACCACCTTAAAGGAAATATTTGAAAAGGAGTTCCATCTAAATAATTATATTTGTAGGAGCCGTGAAGGAAGAAAGAAAGTAAGTAAAGTGGAAGAGATGACAAAGAAGATTTGAGTATGACAAGACAACGACTACTCATTGATAAGTTAGTATTTTCCCAAGTTGAGTAGACATGATAATGAGGCGAAGCAAGGGTAGGTTTAAACATTACCAGCTCCTCCCCTTTCTCCTTGTACCAAACCTGTCCACACCTTCAGATTCAGTCGAGGGTAATAATTGACCCCTACACCTGCCCCTAACATGGAACGATTTTCTCCGCCCCGTCCAACACCCACCCACAAAAAATGTAGATTTTTTTAAAATGCATGTTTTTTCATAACAACAAAATTCAACAATTAAGCTAAATAATAGTCCCTCTGTCCCATATTATTTGTCGCAATTGACTATTTCACACACATTAAGAAATAGTAATAAATGAAATAGAGAGAATAATGGTTTTACCAAACTATCCTGATTAACTATTGATGTATTCAAATTAGCATTAATGTTAAGTGAAAAAACAATTTTAAAAACATTTATTAGATGGTACAATTGGAAGATTAAATATAAAATTACATTGGTAATCTAAAGTGACAAGTATTTTAAGACACATTTTTTTTCTCTAAATGTGACACTTATTTTAGGACGGAGGGGGTGTCATTTTAATAAGAGTCATAATACTTGGTCATTTTCATTTAATCTGTATTTTTTTAAAATTGAATAATAACGGTAATAAAATTAATATCTTGAGATTAAGAAGGATAAATGAATAATAAAGTTATTAAAAATAAAGTTAATAAAGTAAATTTAATAGGCTAGGGTAGAACGGAGGTGGGTGTGGGGCCGATTTAATATCCCTCGCCTCTCTCATAATTTAAAATAAAACTTTCTCGACACCTGCACACGCTCCCAATTAAACTAGTTTTCTTCATTAAATTTGGAGTGGGGGCGGTCTGGTCCGATCGGATTAGAATTTTTTGTCATGTCTATGGTTGAAAGACACTTATCGACTCAATCAATGACAAGATTCCAAAAAGAGAGGTGACGTGAATTCCTTCCATCGACCACCCAAGATATTTAAAAGAGAACTAACCAAACTTGCAGTTAAGAAACATAGGCACGTCTTCTAACCAAATAGGAGAGATATTGATCCCAACTAAAAAAATTGTTGAAATTAATTTGAGCCAAAAATTAATTTAAAAAAAAACATATTTGCTTTAAAAGCCCTAATGTTGGTCCTTGACTTCTCAGCCAAAATTAAGATGTCGTCCGAAAATGAGAAACTATAAATTTGAAGTCAACTCTCATCCAATAACATGTGAATAAATTCGCTTCGACAAATGCCTTTATCATAACACATTGAAACTTCAACAACTAACGAAAATAAGAATAGTGACATTGAAACCTTCTCTATGTAAATCTTATCCCATATTAAACTCAATTGTAGGACTAGCATTGATGAACACTGAAGAAAAAGTTGGGCGACATGCCATAACCCAATTTATCCACTGAACAAAAGAGTTCATCTTGGTCATAACCTTCTCTAAGTAGGCGCATTCTATATAATTAAAAGACTTTTTAAAATCTACTTAATTTATCCAAACAATTTCTTAATTTAACTCGTTGAACGTAAAGATACCATCTAGAATTTCAACTCCTTTAATAATCGTTGTTTGAGATTCTTAAACAATGTTAGTGATAACTTTCTTCAACCAATTTACCAAGAATTTAGCAAAGACCTCGTACATACAATCCACTAAAAAGATAGACTAAAAAGATAGGCCGAAAGTCAAATAGTCATATGGATTAGCACAATAAAATAAAATTAGAACTTTTAACCAACCTCTCATTTGAGTAGAATTCAAAAATCTACTATAATGTTAGACAAAAATATTTTAGTCCAAAATAAAACTAAGAAATAAAATCAGGAAATTTCCCCTATACATGCTTATAGAATTCTATTATTTTGAATCAACTTTGAAATCAACTATGTTGAGAATCCAAAAGTAATGTCAACCATCTAGCAAGACCGAAATCAGCAACTTTTGCATTGAATTGAGAATCCAAAAGTATGTTGCTTGTTTTTATATGGCGATGAACAATCGGAGGCGAGCAATCATGGTGCATGTAGCACAAACCATGAGCAATTCCAATGGCTATTTGCAATTGCTTCGGCCAATCAAAGACATTCGATGATTTATTCTTGTTGTGCAGCCATTTGTCTAGGCTGTTGTGTTCCAAATACTCATACACAAGCATCATGGATTTCCTCATTAGAGATACAACACAGCAACTTCACAATGTTTCGATGACAAATATTGCTCAATATTCTAACTTCCGCGCGAAATGAAGTTTCGAGCTTTTACCTTGACTATCTGTTACTCATGATTTTTTTCACAGCAACATAGCTTAAACCGTTAACGCGTACGCAGTATACCGTGCCGAACCCACCACTGCCGGTGATATTTTGTTCTGTCATTGAGGAAAGTATGTCTAATTCAGTGAAACTTAGCCTTTGAAATGAAATGAGCTTCCATGAACTTTCCGATTCATGTTTTCTTTTCTTGTAAAGTTTGATAATCATGAATGATGCAAGCAAAGCCAACAAGAAAGTCACCACAGTAAGGCTAATAATCAAACCAATAGACCAATGTGAGGTTTTGGTTGGTTTTTCAAGGCCGAAATTGCAAAGGCTAACACTAAGTTTTGGTTTATCAGCACATAAACCAGAATTGTTCAAAAAGCTACTATCAAAAGCTGAATTTTCAAAATCCACTAGGAACTTTTCCTGTCAAATAATTCGATAATAGAATGAGATTTGTGATTCTAGGAAGTAAAGAAGGTATTTCGCCCGAGAATTGATTTTCTGATAGATCGAGAACACTAAGTAGGTAAATGACCAATTGAACTTGGAATTTTACCAATAAGTTGATTTAGAATCACTAATGATTTCCATGATAATATATCATTTGGAAGTGACCCTTTTAGCTGATTTTGATCAAGCAACAATGTTTGAAGTTTAGGAAGTGCTGTTAGCTCTGGAGGAACACTTCCATTAAGATAATTCTTGCTAGCTATGAACTTAACCACATTAATCCAAGAAGCTACTCCAATTGGAATTCCACCATAAAATTGATTATAACTTAGTATATCAAAAAGTGAAATGCATGAAGACAAATTTTGAGGAAGCTCACCATTGAACTTGTTATCACTAATCATGAAACTCGCCAAATTTTCAGCTCTCCAGAGTCCATCAGGAATTTTACCAGAAAACTCAGTCTTGAAAATTTTCAGGTCAACCAAGGTACTACAATTTCCAGTGATTTTGGTAACTCACCACTTAAACTATTTTCATAAACAGTAAAATATTGTAGCTTACCATGATAGCACAAATTTTCCAGTAACTTTCCCTTAAAAATTGTTCGTTGCAATATGAAATGATTCAAGCTTTGAAAAAAGACCAAAACCCATAGGAAGAGTACCTGAAAACTTGTTCATAATGACATGAAATTCTGTTAAAGATTCAAGACAGCCTAAGATTGAACAAGTCACCAATTACCTCAAAAGGACTAGTATCCTTAAATAAACAATATTTAAGGTCAAGGAATCACAAATCCTTAAGCTTTGCAATACTCAGAAGGAATTTCGCTGTCGAAATTGATTGAACTAAGGTTGAGATACTGCAAATGAACCAAACTTCGAATATCATAAGGAATCTTGCCAACAAAGTTGTTCAAAGACAAATCAAGATACTCAAGATTGGAACAGTTAAACAGATCTTTTGGAAACTCACCAGGAATGAAACTGTGACTGAAATCAACATGTGAGATTTTTAAGGTCACATATGAAAGTGCTCAAATACTGTGAGATTTTTAAGGTCACATATGAAAGAACTCAAATTCTCACGGTCATAATGGTTATTATCACTTTGTCTAAAACATGTTTTAGGAATATAGAAAGAGTTATCGATAGAGGCCGCTATCAGCGCTATCCCGGGATATCAGCCCGGAGCGGTGACCCTCCTCTATTTGATGTTTAGCAGGTAGCAGGAGCAGGGCACTTCCCAATCCGAGCGGATATGAACTGTTATGAGTGCCAAAACTCAGATTTACCCTTAAAATAAATAAATCCTGTTTGATTTTATATTTGTTTTTCATTTTCCTTTGATTTTTTAAGTAATAGTCATTTAATAACTCTATTCCTCTTCTTTGTTTTGATTTTACATTAAATATATGTTTAATAGATTATTCGTATAATTAGTCTAAAACATAATCAAATAGCGGTTATCCCGCTACCCGCTATCTCATTTTTGGGGTCGGCCGCTCCGTTCCGCTATCCGGGATTGATAACTCTGATAGAAACTTGAATTTATTACTCAATTTTGTTATGCCAATGACCCTAACACAACACTATCAGAGATGCATACACAACATTGTTATGCCAATGGCAAACTAAATAAACATTGCAAAACACAACGTCCACCGCATCGCATATCAAGAACACAGCATTTCATGGAATCTCTAACACAACATCCTTTCTAACTACTCTCTCAAATCTTAAGATCATACATTTCAGATTCAACACCTCTAAGGTAAGCAAAATCAACCATTGATGAAAAAACTAATGCTAATGATGTTACAAATTACAGGTACATGTATAACAAATCCCGAGTACAATGAAATTTCAACACTTCACTCTCGACTCAATTCATAAGACACTAAACATTCAAAGATCACGTTTGCAGCATTCTTTGGCCGCAAGAGATTATTTCATTATTCTTGTGACACAAATCAGCACAACAAACTCATTCAAATATCAAATAACTAAAATTTCAATCAATTAATCCCCAAACATAAGAACAAAAGCATTTAACTTAAACACACTATAATTAAACAACTAGTAATCTAGTATACTTACACTAACTATAACAAGATAGAGAAAAAAATCATTCTAATGAAAATCTACCACTACACCTGTTAGTTGTTACATATTATTATTGTTGATTTCAAAACAAGAGAGCTAACCATATAACTAATTTAAAGTATGATAGATAATCACCAATCTAAGTTTTCAAATTCAATTTTAAATTCAAGAACATAACAAAAATCACTACCTCATAGGCCAAAACCGACCCAAACCCAAATTCACTTGTACTCGAAATTAGGCACAGGAGGGGCATCAAAACTCTCAAGAATCTTCACATCACTAGTATTCTTCTCTTCTTCCTTGCCTCCACCGAACATTCCACCAAACCACGGCTTGTTCGAATCCGAATTCTCCGGCGTCTGAAGCGGCACCTCATCCATCATAATCGGCATAGGCTGCTGAGCACTAAGAAACTTATTAAGCGCAATGCCGGCACCTTCAATAAGCGCAAGAAGAACACCGCCAAACGCAGCGGATCTAGCAGAAGCAGCAAAACCCTGACGCATAGCAAGAAAACCACCGGTAGCAGCACCAGCAACAATGGAATTCCACGGATCTTCCTTCTGACGAACGTAAACCATAGTACAATCAAAAGTGGAGAAAAGACCACCCCAAACAGCGAAACTACCGCCGATTCTTGGAGCGTTGAGACGAACTGCTTGTGTTGCGCCGATTAATCGATCGCCTTTGGGGGAATTGTAGAGACCTTTGAGGAAGTGGAAGGCGGACCCGCCCACGGCGCCCATCCCAAAGGCTCCTCCGACGTCGTCTAGGATGCGATCTGGACACGGCTCTCGTGAAGTTTCTGGTGTTCCCATTTTTGATCGAGGTTGGGGTTTGTTTACAGAAAACCAGAATGGAGGAGCTTGTACTAAGTAATTAGTTATACTAAATTTTTATATTAACTTGCACAATAAACTATGAGTTATGACTTTAATGGTTATGTTGCATATCTCATTTTATAATATCTTATTAATTAAAATTGTTAACTAATTTTTAATTTAAAATTAAGATTAATTTAATAATTATTAATATTAAATTATTGATTTATCTAATATTAATTAAAATCATTCATTCTCATAATTTAAAATTTTATTTTTTATTTTATTTATTATTAATTAAAATTACCTATTTTCATAATTTAAAATTTTATTTATTTATTAATTTTCTAAAATTGTAGCAAAATTATTTATTTTTTAAAATTGTAGATTTAAAAAATCATCATTTTAATATTTCAAAATTTAAGTATTTTTGCCACGAGCCATCTTCATAATTTATTTTATTAATATTTATTGTTTATTTTATTTATTATTAACTAAAACCACTCATTTTTATAATTTAAAGATTTATTTTATTTTTTAGGAATTAACATCAAGTAAATGGAGAAATTATTTTATATATTTTTTATTTTTTAGGAATTAACATCAAGTGAATATGGAGGAACGCATAATTAAGATATTCTTAAATTAGGTTGTTTCATCTCCTTCATCATTCTCTTTATTATTTTTATTCTTTTTATAATTTTTATAACTTCATATCATACTAAATTATACTTGTGTAATATTTTCTATCATTTTATATATTTTGTATTTTTCAAGGATTAACATCATGTGAATCGATGAACACATAATTAAGATATTTTTCAATCATGTTGTCTCATTATTGTTAATATTTTGTAGTTTGTCTTTGTTTTTTGATTTTTATTTTCTTTTATTCTTAATTTTTTTAGTTATTAGATAATTAGGCTATGTTTTTTTAGATATAAATTTGTTGCAAAAGAAGAATTGATGAAAGAAAGAGAATTGAAATAATTGTGTAAGTGACATTACATATGAATGGTGTTATATCGTGTATTTTGTTAACTTTTAAATTTTTATTTTTTTTAAATTCTCAAATATATTATCGTTTGAATTTAAAAAAATATAGATATTTCCTCCATCCCATATTATTTGTCGCAAATGATCATTTCACATAGATTAAAGAAATAATAATAAATGAAAGAGAGAGAATAATGACTTTACCAAATTATCTTGATTAATCTTTGGTGTGTTAGTGACACCTCAAAAATCTAGATTTATTATTTAATTAATTTAGTATGAATATTGATGATTATTGGTGAATATACGAATTATAGTGAGTTATGTGATGCATTGGTGAATGCAGTGCTATGAGTAGTGTGGGAATGAGAGTAATATGAGGATTTAATTAGATTATAATTATTTAGAGCTTAAATAATTATTTGAGGTTAAATTGGATTTAATAATAATATTTAGAATTATTATTTATAATAATATGAGGAGAATAATAGTGTAAGACAAGAAGGACAAGATGATAACGTTGTGTTGAACAAGTGGGAGTAAGGTTGAAATTTATGATTTAAGAGTCCAAAGGCTAGATAAGTAAAAACAAGAGGAACGGAAGAGTATTCTTATTTTGATCGATCTTAGAAACGAGAGAAGAGCAGAAGTAAAAAAGAGGAAGAGCTAAGAAGAGAGGAACCATTGTTGAAGCTTGAGGAATCTACAACCTAAGGTAAAGGTGTGATTCTGACTCTCTATTATGTAGTATAATTGTGGGTAGATGATGATACAAATTTAGTTTTCATTGAAATTGTGAATAATTGATGAAATTGATGATGAGAATTGAATTAGAATGTAGTAGATGTAGTATGACAATGTGATAAATTAGATCATGTATTTTGATGTAGAAAAATTGGGGTTTTGGGTTGGAAAAGAATGATTTTCGTAACATAAAAATCTGGTTTTTGTGACTCTGGTACAATGGAAATCGGTTACAGTATATGGTAACTGTAACACCCCAATTCTACCCGACAATATATATATATATATATATATATATATATATATATATATATATATATATATATATATATATATATATATATATATATATATATATATATATATATATATATATATATATATATATATATATATATATATATATATATATATATATATATATATATATATATCAGAGTTATAAAAATTCTACAACTGAATCAGGATGTCAAAAATTTCAACTTAAAACAACGGCATTCATTACTGATACATAACACATTAAACTTGGATGGACCAACAGCAAAACATAATTCAATCTTAAAAGAAACATCAACTTTCACAACTACGCAGCGGAGTCATAATATTCAAACTTAAAGGAATGTAACATCTTTGTCCCACTAAGACAACATCAAATAACAAGCATTCAACTAAAAACAACTTAAAGTTCAACAACTGAAATAATAACAACAACAAACTAGCAAGCGTTCATTCCTCCGAGTATTACACATCAGAGCAATGATACTGACTCGAACTACTGAAGGTAAACTGCCTTCACTCGGGATTACTTGCACGGTTACCAACATCAGGGTAACATTCAAACAGAATGGGTGAGATATCGAACAATATAACCGAATGTATGATAAATATTACATTAGAATTAGTCTATGCAAAATCACCACTTCACAACTTTAAACAACATCAATTACAACAAAAAATCAACGAAACATAATAATTAATTCATCAACATGAGAACTCAATATGCAACGTGAAATACAACTTGTTACTATGCATATGCATGTGGTACCAATGGAGCATAACTCTCATCTTAAAAACGGAGCAGAACTCCCAACTTAAAAACGGAGTAGAACTCCCATCTTAAAAACGGAGCAGAACTCCCATCTTAAAAATGGCCAATTAATAGAGGCATCAACAAGGCATAAGCCTTCTTCGCGGTTTTCCAGTTCAGACCGTCGCAAAATATGAAAATGTATGTGACTCAATGAATGCACTATCACATACTCACAACAATCATCGTTCATCGCAAGGCATAAGCCTATATCACCATTATTACCAGTAAATAGAGGTAATTCATCATCATTTAAAATTCCCTGCAACTTCGCATTATCAACAAAATTTACAGCAACAACCACAACAACACAACAACATTGGCATAAGCCCTCAACTTAATAATAATTCAACATAAAACCACATAAATCAATGTTGGTCATAAGCCTAGAACTTAATATCTGCCCATCATTAGAGGCATCTCAACATAAATCATAAACCTGTAATTTCTTAACTCAGAACAACTTACACAACAACTAAGAAGAATAATAACTAACTTATACTCCTCGCCCAACCTGCAACTTCGTTCCGCTCAACAACAGTATCGTACTCCTCGGTACGCCTCGCAGTCTAATATCGTTCGACATCCAACACATATATTCCCCGACACGCTTTGCAGCCTAAACGCCACTCAACATTTAACACCATCAGCATCCTCCTCAACCACTAGTTCGTCCAACAGGACAGAACAACACGACGTCATAACGGCCACATCAATACAATTCATAACTTCCGACCAACTGCTTGGAATACCACAGTAATGGAAAACTATATTTCCTATCAATAGATTCATTCATTGTATAAGACATTCACGCATAAACCTTCCTAATACGACCACAACAACAATTCCTAATTTCCTGCCAATTGCTCGGGACACCACAACGTCATAACGACCACACCACCCAGTGATAAACTATACTAACCTTATTATCGATTCTATCGGGAAATGATACAGACCACTCGAAACAACCTCAACATAACAATCAGGCAACTTCCTAAAACAGGTTCATTAAAACGTAGTATGATAACTCCCTAAACGACCATAGCATGAATAAATGGCCAACTTCGATAACAAATTCGGAAACATCAACGCACACAGTCATTCAAACGACCAATTCTCACGTAATACACATCACAAATCCCATTATAAGATCATAACCCTACCCTTACCTAGATTGAAAGTCGCTCCACCAAAGCTCTGGCCGTAATCCTTTGTTTTGCTCTGCTCGACACTGGGCAGCTTGCTCCTCTTCCGCACAACTCTTTCGGTCAACGTACAAAACTTCTTATTCTCCAACTAAAACAAATCCTTGTGTCAGTTTAATCTTATATATCAATCCTATTGGGCCTAACCTACACACTCCCACTTTACTACTTCCAACCATTAACGTAAGTCCAATACTATATATTCCCTTAATTCCAACATTATTATTATTAATCAACTAATTAATTAATTAATAATAATCCAACAAATTATACCAATAATTCTCAACATCTCCCAACTTCGACAAATAATCCAAAAATAATTTAATTAAATGATTAATT